GGGTAGGGGACTCTTCTCCAAAAAAAAAAAAAAAAAAAAAAAAAAAAGAGTAAGCATATATACTATGTAAGATGTGTGATTTTTAATATTTTCATCTGTATTTCAACACAATTTTCTTCCTTGGCTCAAGCCACAGGATAGCTTGAGCTACAGGATAGCTTGAGCCAAGGAGTTGGAAGCTGCAGTGAGCCAAGATCGCGCCACTGCACTCCAGCCAGGGCAACATAGCAAGATCTCATCTCTCTTTAAACGCTAAAATAAAAGCATTATACTGAAAAGGGGTCTATAGACTTCACCAGACTGTCCAAAGGGGCCAGGGCAGTCAACCAACAAGGGTGAGGGCTCGTTGTGCATCCGGACTTTAAAAGCCCATTCGTTTTAGGCAAAGCCGACAAGCTCCACGTGAGTGTTGTCTAAGGCGCAGTGTGCCCAGGCCAGACTGGGAGCATAGCCATTTCACGGGGAGGACAGGCTGCAGCCGCTGCGTGTGCAGTTCCAACCCCCCTCTCCCCCACTCCTGGAATGCACACAAGCCTTATATGAAATCCACATGGTGCGCGGCCGAGGAAGGCAGCGGCACGAAAGGACTTCAGCAAGTTGACAGCGCCGCCAGGCCCGGCCAGTTCTGGAGAGGCTCCAGGGAGCTGTAGGTCATCTGGCCCCGCTCCTGGTTTGGAGCCTCGGTGGTAACCAATGCCCGGCCACAGGAAATTGGATCACTGGGCCCCCTGTGTTCCCCACTCTAGACTCTGGACTCTGAAACGAGCCCAACTGGAAAGCAGCATCACTGCCAAGACACATCCGGAGTCCACACACAAATACCGGAGGCTGCCGGCGAAACTCTCCCGGCGGAGAGCGGGGTTTGGCCACTTTTTCTCCCCGCCGGCAGCCACAGGAGTCCCGGGGCCCGCACGCCGGTTGCAACCCAGCTCCGGCTCTAGCTCTATGGAGGCTCCGCGCGCAAGCCTGGGTCCTAGCCCCGAAGGGTCGGGATAACCGAGGGAGGCGGACCGACCTCCCTGATGCGACGCAGCCCACAGCAGCCGGAAAGGCAGCTCCGCGGGGTCCCGGGGTGCCGGGGTCACGGCCGGGCGCACGCGGAGCCTCCCAAGACCTTGCGAGCCAGCGCCGTCCCTAACCCCGCGACCCGCTCTTCGTATGGCAGGGACCGGGTCGGGGAGACCTCCGCGGACCCAGCAGAGGCGGGAGACCCTGCGCAGAGCCCGTTGCCCTGGCGGCCAGCGGGTCCCACTCCCCGCCTGCGACGCCCACGTTCGTCCGGCTCCGCGGGCGCCCCCGGCCAGCCGCGCCCTCCAGCCCCTCGGCCTCCCTCCCAGAGCGCACTCACGTAGACAGAGCCGATGTCGGATCTGTCGTAGAAGCGGAGCACCCCACTCAGCTCCAGGGCCGGGGAGACCAGGTCGTCTCCGTCCTCCAGCTCCAGGTCCCCGTGTGCGGGGCCGAAGGGAAAGAGCTCCTGGCGGCTCAGGCAGCCCCCGGGCCCCGCCAGCAGCAGCGGCAGCAGCAGTGCCCGCGTCCACGCCGCCCGGCTCCGGTTACTCGCGGCCAACATGTTCCCGAACTGCGCTCCCGCAAACCCAGTCCCGCGGCCGGAGCAGAGGAAGGCGGGGATGTAACCCGACGCCCCTGGCAGCCCCCTCGCCTCCCGCCTCCCGGCGTTCCCACCCCGGGAAATAGGGGAGGAGAGCCGCGAGGAGAGGGGAGGGCCCCGCCCCGTCCAGCAGGCGAGCCGCGGGGCAGCCCAATGGCCGCGAGGGGGAGGGCAAGGGGCGACGCCAAACCTCCCGCCTTATCGGCGGCGGGGCCTCGGGCGCCGGTGCCTGCGATTCCCGACACCAGCCCGGCTCGCACCGAACGGCGCCTCCGGGATGGGGAGCAGAGCGCCGCACTGGCACCGTGGTCCTCGGGTTAGGGTTGGGCGGTGGAGAGCCCGCGACGTGGAAACGCTCCGGATTCAGAAACGGCGCCCACCCCACCGCCGCTCGGCGGCGTCCGGGGTCCAATTCGCTAGTCCCGGGCTGGAAGACCGGGTGGGAGCTGGGAGTGAGCCAAAGGACCGAGCCACGAGCACGTTCCTGCGCTCATCCAGCCCTTCATTCCGCGTGTTTTTGATTGCCTGATCCCGTGCTCCGCACTGTGGAGGTTCTCCAGGAAAGTGTCCCACCTTCCGAGGCAAAGTCGCCAGTGTCCAACACAAGCCAGTGTCAGGTGAGGGCCCCAAGTCATCAAGGACCTTAGGGCTGGAGAAACTAGAGGCGAAAGCTTCGGGTGGAATGGCGGGAATCCACCCGGTTCTTCTGGAAGGAATGGGATTTCATCAGGCAGCGGCGAAGCAGGGTGGAGGGCCGAGCCGGGTGGATTCAGGTCATCATCCCCCAGCAGAGAATTTGTGGAGGGGCAGGTTGAAGTACAGCCTTCAAATCACAAATCCAGGCGTTTGAATTCGCTCTGTCACTCGGAGAAGAAACTACTGAAAGTTCTTGACAAAGGGAGATAAGCGATTTAAGTGGTATCCTGAATAAATCGGTTGATCATTAATTTGGCACTAGGGTGGAAGTAGAGACAGGTAAGTTATTAGAAGACCACGTCTAAAACATTGCAATGAAAGAAGGAGCAAGATCTAATCATAAGTTTGACGTCGAAAAGAAGAAGGAATGAAATTAAAATTGAGTTCAAGGTTTTGCACCTGGAGGACTGGGAAACCAGTACTGCCTTTTGACGTTAAGGAGGAGGATCGGAGACAGCTGGATATGTTTGATGTCAGACCTATTAACTTGGAGGGGTCAACAGGACGTGCCCATTTCCTGTCAGCAGCTAAAATTAAGGACCTTGAAACTAGTTCATAATAATTCTTCAGAAAACAGCAAATTCTGTATAAAACTTAGAGGGCGTGAGTTCTGAACCAGCAAAGACTGGAAGAAAAAGCCAAGGAAACATGGCTTCTAAGCAAAACGCTTTTGATCTCATGAGACCTTGTCTTTTTCTTTTAAATTCCACAGCCATCAGAGATAACATGTGTTCCACAAGTATTCATTCATTTCACACACACAGTAAAGCTAGGAAACAGACCATCCCTGTTTGACAGAGAAGGGGCATAGAGACCCAGAGGGGTTAAATCATTTTGCTAAGATCACACAGCTGGGAGCCTGTAAGTGACCCTGGGTGTCCCAGCTGCAAGAACCCCACTTATAACCACTGCATTAAGCACTGACTGTTTACTACCCCGACCCCTGTTGTTGAAGAGTAACCGATGCTGCCTGCAGTCTGTTGTCAAATACGGTGTTTTTCCTTCAGTCCCCTCCCAGCAATGCAGCACTGTGAGCCCCCAGCCTGCTCCCCAGAAGCACTTCTGACTCTATGCCATCTGTGGTTCTGTTTCTGGGCTTCTGGGCCCCAGCAGTTCCCGTTCCAGCTGCTGCAAGAGCTGTGTATGGAGATTCTTCTCTATGTTCACCTGCACGCGACATGGGCTTCACGACTTCCACACCCCTGGGGTTGAGGGAAACCCCAAGCTCAGTCTGTCTTTGTTTTGCCTGTGCCTCCAACAATCCTCCTTTGAAAACCCCCATCCCAACCTCCGTCACACATCAGAGCTGTCTCCGAAGCTGTGGTCTATGCCTGGAATGCTCTTACCCCTCTCACGAATTCTCTCCCTTTTTGGTACTCAGGCAGCTTCTGAAACTCCTATTGGTCTATCCATGGCACTCTCTCTGGTCGGCGAATACAGGAGAGCAGTTCTCCACTTTGCTGGTTCAGCACAGCCTCCCGATTCCAGCCTGGCTGAGGTCAGGGCTCCCCACTTACCAGCTGTATAAGAGTGGGCAGATTTCTAGCTTCAATATCCTTGATCACTTGTATGGGATGTTCATAATTAAAATCAAAGGATTATCGTGAGGATTAAATAAGGTGATTCATTAAATGCTCCTAGCTGGGCACAAAGTAAGTATTCATTAAACCATCGTTATTACCTAAATGTACAGTTTTCGTTATTATGCCAACATTTACTGAGAATCTACCATGAATCAGTATACTAGAAATTCAAAACGCCAAGACCATTAGGCACAATCCTTTCTTTGAGAAGCTCACAATCTATTGGGGAGACAGACACAATAATAGAGTGTGATGCTTTAAGAAATACACAGGCCGGGCGTGGTGGCTCACACTTGTAATCCCAGCACTTTGGGAGACCGAGGTGGGCCGATCACCTGAGGTCAGCAGTTCAAGACCAACCTGGCCAACATGGTGAAACCCTGTGTCTTAAAAAAAATATTAAAAAAGAAATGCACAAACAGCAACAAGAGATATCACTTGTTGAATGCTGCTTCTGCTGGATGCTTAATGTAGCATTCAATTTAATACTAATAACAGCTGCACAAGCTAGTAGCACTATATGGGGAAAACAAGGTTTGCAGAGATCAGATAACTGGCCCAGTTTCACACAGGTAGTCAAAGGGCTAGGATTTGAATCCCAGTTTGTCTGACACCAAAGCTATTATTCTTCCTGCTGCACCATCCTGCCCTTCTATGGAAGGAAACATTTCTCCCTTTATTTCTGCCCACAAGATCTATTTGCTCTATTGTTTATACATAATGCCCGTGATCTATTTGTGCATGCTTGTGCTCCTTTATGTCATCAGTATCTCTTGGCCTGAGTAAATCCAGTATATACGGTAAATTCTCTGTCATATTCTATTTATAGCCCGGCACTCGCCTCACATTGTCCAGTCCTTGTAGGACGTGATATTGATGCTGTGTCTCCTACTAGGACAGTGTGTCCCTGTCCCTCCTTTAGAATCTGTCGTTCCAAACGCATTCATCATAGAATACTTACTTTTATATTGTGCTCTGGACATTTTCTAAGTGTATGTAATAATCCGGCCTTTTTCTCTAGTCGTTGTGCATGTTTTTCAGGGATATAAGCTTTTTGGGGCAAGGCCCATGGGCTTTATTTGTTTTTCTGACTTCACAGAGCCTAGCCCAATGCTGCATACACATTGATAAAATGTACATGCTTCTTAACCGTTTAAGAATTCAGTGATATGTTTAAGAATCATCTGAGGCTAAGTGCAGAGGCTCATGCCTATAATCCCACGCTTTGAGAGGCTGAGGTGAGCAGATCACCTGAGGTCGGGAGTTCAAGACCAGCCTGACCAACATGGAGAAACCTCACCTCTACTAAAAATACAAAATTAGCTGGGTGTGGTGGCGCATGCCTGTAGTCCCAGCTACTCGGGAGGCTGAGGCAGGAGAATTGCTTGAACCCTGGAGGTGGAGATTGTGGTGAGCCAGGATTGCGCCATTGCACTCCAGCCTGGGCAATAAGAGCAAAACTCCATCTCAAAAAAAAGAAAGAAGAAAAAGAATTGTCTGATATCTGCAGTAGCAACAGCACCCATAATTATGTAATACACCAGCTTAAAAAAAAAAAAAGGGCCGGGCGCGGTGGCTCAAGCCTGTAATCCCAGCGCTTTGGGAGGCCGAGGCGGGTGGATCACGAGGTCAAGAGATCGAGACCATCCTGGTCAACATGGTGAAACCCCGTCTCTACTAAAACTACAAAAAATTAGCTGGGCATGGTGGCACATGCCTGTAGTCCCAGTTACTCGGGAGGCTGAGGCAGGAGAATTGCTTGAACCCAGGAGGCGGAGGTTGCGGTGAGCCGAGATCGTGCCATTGCACTCCAGCCTGGGTAACATGAGTGAAACTCCGTCTCAAAAAAAAAAAAAAAAAAAAAAAAAAGAAACCTTGCTCTTTTGAGACTTGTCCTCTTTTCTTGACAGCTGTCATCCTGATGAGGCAGAAAGACAAAATGTCACAAGCACATCTCAGGCTGCATGTCTATGAGAAGTCACGGTAACTTTTCTTTTTTATTTTTGTTTGTTTTTTGAGACAGAGCGTCACTCTGTCACCCAGGCTCGAGTGCAATGGCGCAATCACAGCTCACTGCAAACTCCACCTCCCAGGTTCAAGTGATTCTCTTGCTTCAGCCTCCCAAGTAGCTAGGATTACAGGGTGCGCCACCACACCTGACTAACTTTTCTATTTTTAGTACAGACGGGATTTCACCACGTTGGCCAGGCTGGTCTCAGAGAAGGAATTCCTGACCTCAGGTGATCCTCCTGCCTCAGCCTCCCAAAGTGCTGGGATTACAGTTGTGAGCCACCACGCCTGGCCCCAAGATAACTTTTCTATCTGATAATTCAGACAGAAGTCCAGGTGGCTGAGTGGGAAAATAGCTCAGTTGGCTATTTCATGGAAGGAGGCATTTGTTCTAATTTCACTCTCCTGTGAGGATTGGAAAGTGACCGTATATGGCCATGGAGCTTTCCTTTATTTCCCAGATGTCATGTAGAGGTAAATGTATTAGTTTGTACGTTCTAGTTCCAGGGAATTCACCTAATTTGTGAACATTTTAAACAACTCACATTCAATTGTGATCTCAGATAAAAATGATATCCTGACAAAGGATGAGAATGAAGCAGGATTTGGTGCTCACTTTATTTTGTTTTCAAAGGAGATTAGGATAAAAATTACTTTATGAAAACACAATTATGTCCACCTTTGTGTTGATTGGGAAGATGCCAAGCTTTTCAGGGTAAAGTTTAATTCCTATAGTTCTATATCCTGTTTTCCCATGAACGTTTTCCTGGTTCATTATCATCAGACCTCCAGCATTCGCTGCTGGGTTCCGCTTGCCTTTTGTTGTTATTTTAATTTTTAATCTTGATTTATGTAATTTTTAGCCTTACATAAAAATTGCAAAATGAATACAAAAAAGTTCTATATACCCTTATATTCCCGTATCCCATACACCCACATTTTCCTTAATATTAACATTTTGCCATGTTTGCTTTCTCTCTGTCACTCTCTGTCCCTGTCTCTTTCTTGTATACACACACACACCTGCGTGCACCCACACACAGACTCATCAATACACACGCACACACACACACACACATACACACACACATATATATATATACACACACACATATATTTTTATCTGTACCATTGAGGATAAGTTGTAAACCTGATACCTCTTTATCTCCGAATGCTTAAGTATATGCTTCTTTAAAACTAGAACATTCTCTCACCTAGCCTTAACACAGTTGCCAAAACAAGGAAATTACATTGATATCATACTGTAATCTCATTGACAGCTCTTTTTTTTTTTTTTTTTTTAGAAGGAGTTTCGCTCTTGTTACCCCAACGTGGGTGCAATGGGGCGATATCGGCTCACCGCAGCCTCCGCCTCCTGGGTTCAGGCAATTCTCCTGCCTCAGCCTCCTGAGTAGCTGGGATTACAGGCACGCACCACCATGCCCAGCTGATTTTTTGTAGCTTTAGTAGAGACGGGGTTTCACCATGTTGACCAGGATGGTCTCGATCTCTTGACCTTGTGATCCACCCGCCTCGGCCTCCCAAAGTGCTGGGATTACAGTCTTGAGCCACCGCGCCCGGCCTCATTGACAGCTCTTATTCAGAGTTCACCAGATGTCAAACTAATGTCCTGCATTAGCAAAAGAAAATACCAGATACAAATTGTATTCATTTGTCACGTGTTTTTAGTCTTCTTCAACTTGAAAGAGTTCCTCAGTCATTCTTGATCTTTCATGACGTTAACTTTTGGTTTTTTTTT